CCTGTGTGGGACTAAGGTCATGAGACTTCTTTGAATTCTCTGCAGGTGGATGGATAGGGTCCAGGGTCAGGAGGTGAATAGCCAGCACTTTGTCCTCATAGCCAAGCCCTTGATAGGAGGCAAGCTTTGATGTTCCGGATGATGGTTGGTGTTTTTAGAACTAATATCCAAAACAGTAATACATAATGCATTTGATTCCAAGGACAGCTGCTGATGCATAGCTGAGGGTTAATTTAAAGATTGTCTAATGAAAAGAGCCATTCATGAGTCCATCAAATGCTTTAGAACACAATACTCCAGTTCTAAAACAACTACATGTACATAACAAAATTCACTATGCATCCCATGTTCCATTATTGTTGTTGTTGTTAATGTTGTTGGGGCTGTGAACTAAATGCATGGTCTCATGCAGGCTAGTCAAGCCCTTTCCCACTGAGATGCACTCCCCAGTCCAATGCAGTGTGCTTCTTACCCTAGCTCCATAGATAGATAGATAGATAGATAGATAGATAGATAGATAGATAGATAAACAGACAGAACTAGAACTAAAAGAACCTTAGTGTTTGTTAGCTATGTGCCAACAAGCATGAATTCCTCAAGCCATTTTGAGCAGAAAGCTGAGCCCGATGGTGGTAAGCACATCCAAGGCCACACAGCACAGCATGGAGCAGACAAAACTTAGAACTAGCAATTGGCTATGACATCAGCCTTTTTATCCACTGTACTATGTTCCAGAGTGCTACATCTTCTGTTTTTACTAGTATTAATGTTTAAAAACACACAGTAGAGCCTAACTGCCTGGGTTCAAGTCTGTTACTAGTTATCTGATGTTCAATGATTTAACCTCCTATGAAAAGATGGAACAATGACTAATGGCTCAGGCCTGTGATTCCAACTACTTGAAAGGCTGAAGCAGGATGATTGTAACTACAAGGCTTATATGGGCAACATAGAGAGACCTTGCTAGAAAATGGGGGGAAAGCTTAGCATGGTGGTGTATGACTTTAACCCCAGCACTCAAGAGGCAGAGGCAGACGGATCTCTGAGTTCAAGGCCAGCCTGGTCTACTAAGTGAGTTCCAGGACAGCCAGAGCTGTTACACAGAGAAACCCTGTCTCAAAAAAAAAAAAAAAAAAGAGGAGATAGCCTGGTGGTGATTCCACACACCTTTAATCCCAGCACTCGAGAGGAAGAGGCAGGTGGATCTCTGTCATTTTGAGGACCGCATGGTCTACAGAATGAGTTCCAGAAGAGCAAAACTATGTAGACAGACCTTACCCCCCCCAAAAAAAAAAAAAGACTAAATATACAGCTAAATGGTAGCACACATACCAATCCTGCACATTTTAATCAGCCAGTCACCAAATCAATGGACAATGGGAAAGATGATAGAGTCTCTCTCCAGGAAGAGAGATTAGATGGGCTGGCAATTAAAGTAGCACTGGTCTGTATGATCACTGCAAGTGAGTGTCTTGTTTTCTGTTACTGATATTAAGTACCCCATGGTTGACTTCCTTGTGTCTTATTCATGGATTTCTGCATAGCCAGGATAGGTTCTAGTCTTTGCCAGAGAGCAAGCAGCCCTTCCACTCAGAATCTGAAAGAAAATACCAAGTGCTCTGTCCTTTCTCAGAGCCCTCAATCAAAACACCTTGTAGTGGGCTGAGGGTGTAGCTCAATGGTAGAATGCGTGCCCTGGGTTCAATCACAAGCACCAGTGAAACAAAACAGAATGGAGTGAAACAAAGCTATTTCATATACATACATGTATAAGCATATATGACATGTGTGTGTGTGTGTGTGTGTGTGTGTGTGTGTGCGCGCGCGCGCGAGCGCGCATCTGTGTCTGTGTAAATGAACAAATTGCTTGGGTTTCGAAAAGTATTGATTATTCTTTAGTATACTTTGAAAGACAAAGTGAAACACTCAAAATCATTTTTAAGTGCGCTGAGAAATTTTTTTTAAAGGTAAATAAGCTGTCAGTGTTAAATACAAAATCAAACGCCCCTGACTTATAAATTGGAACATTTGATAATTTGTTAAAGCGCTCAGCACTAGTGCTAAGGCCAATCGCTGTAACCGGCATACATCCTCTGAACTTGACAGCACATTTCTCACTGTGATGTTAATGGCTCCTTTGAAGAGGTTAAAAGCATATTGAGAGCAGCAATCGATTCAACTCTATTTATATGTGGTAATTTTCTCAAATATTAGGATACACGCTAATCAGAAGAGAATTCAGCAGATTACAAGATAAAGGACACTCAGAGTACTAACACACATTGTTAGTTATCCTTGACTTGGACCTGATGAAAATGCTTTTCCTTTTCCTAGCATAATACACAAAATACAATGTGCTAATATCCAGATCTGAACTCTGGTACAGACGCACATGTTTACATCAAAGTCCTTACCAAAATCTAAGGGGAATTTTCAGAAACTTTTAGCCTATGCTGCTGCTTCCTTCAGTTGGTCACATTTGTATGGCAATATTTTTGGTTTTGGAAGTCATGACCAGTCTCCTGGGAAGTGGTCAGAAGTTTAGCAGGTGTGCAAGCTCTGCAGGGCACAGAGGCAGAGGTAGTGAGTTCAGAGGTCACTGCAGCTTTTCCAATTCAAATACAGGATGGAAGTTGGAGGGCCGAGGGTACAGAGTTTGGGAGAATTTGAATGGAGAGTTGGCCATTTGGGTTGCTCTGGCTCAGATCTAGCCCAGTTTACATATACATTTTTTAAGTTAAAAATAATTATATCTGGGTCATTGATAGTGCATGCACTCCGGAGGCAGAGTCAGATGGATCTCTGTGAGTTCGAGGCCAGCCTGGTCTACAAAGCAAGTTCCAGTACAGGCTCCAAAATGATACAAAGAAACCTTGCCTTGAAAAAACAATAGATTAAAAAAAAGATAAAAAAAAATTTAAAAAGATAAAAAGATAAAAATATAATATATATATAAAAGAAAAACAGATAGATAGATAGATAGATAGATAGATAGATAGATAGATAGAAAATAAAACTAATTACAATAGAGGCCTGGTGGTGGTGGCACACACCTTTAATCCCAGCATTTGGGAGGCAGAGGCAGGTGGATCTCAGTGAGTTTGAGGCCGGCCTGGTCTACAATGTGAGTTCCAGGACAGCCACGACTGGTACACAGAGAAAACCTGTCTTGAAAAAACCGAAATGATAATAATAATAATAGAAAAGAAGAAAATTAAAGAAAAAATATTGTGTTCCTCTCCCCTCTCTCCGCTGATTGGTCTATGCAGTGGAGGGTTTCAAGGATTAGGCATGGATGACTGTTCTCAGCACTGTTCTTTACCTTTACTGGAGCTGGCACTGCTGGGGAAGTACACCATCAGAGGCAACTGCCTGCTGTCAAGCTTTATGCAAACCATAGTTCCAGATGCTGAGTGAATGACCTCAGTCAACATGGATAGAGTGCTTACTACATAGTAGACATCATTCATTCATTAAACAAATATCCAGTCCCCATGAAGCTTGCCTTCTGATGGGTGGATGTAATTAATACATTAAATCTGTTAGGTAGTGTGTGACCTGGTGAGAGTCATGCTGGGGGAAAAGAAAGAATAAAGGAGAGTCCAGGGGGCAGAGTTTGAGTGAGAGCTCAAAGTTGGTGAGGGAGCTAGAGATGCTGATATCTTAGAGAAGAATGCTCCAGACAGAAGGCAAGGGCAAGACTGGGAAAGCCTTGCAATGGAGTGTATCAGAGTTTGAGGATGCAGCAAGGAGGCCAGGATGGCTGGAGTAAGATCAGCCTGGCCAGGTATGATCTAGCATGCCTGGGATTTCAGCCTTCTGGAAGCTGAGATGGAAGGACTCTAAGTTTGAAACCCATTGAAGCTATATACAGAGACCTGTGGTGGTTTGAATGAGAATGGCTCCCATAGCCTCATGTGTTTGAATACTTGGTCCCCAGTTGATGGAACTGTTTAGAAAGAATTAAGAGGCATGGCTTTGTTGGAGGAGGTGTGTCACTGGGGGTGACCTTTGAGGTTTCCAAATCCTACAACATTTCCATTTCATTCTCTTCCTATCTTTTGTTGTTTCAACATGCCAGCTCTCAATCTCTCAGCTCCTTCTCCAGAATCATGCCTACCTGTCTACTGCCATTGAGGTTAGTCAGGACAGAAATTCAAGGCAGGCACTTAGAGTCAGGGGCTAAAGCAGAGGCCTTGGAGGATCATTGCTTGCTACTGGCTTGGTCTCTATGGCTTTACTAGCTTCCTTTCTTATGACATCCAGGACCAGCTGCTAGGGTGCACACTGCCCACAGTGAGCTGGGTCCCACCCCATATCAATCATTAATCAGGAAAATATCCTACAGGCTTACAAACAGGCCAACCATCTGATGGGAACATTTTTCTCAACTTAAATTTCCTTCTCCCACATAACTGTGGCTTATGTCAAGTTGACAAAAACAAAAAATGAAAAACCCACCACCACATCATCCAAGGTTAAAAAATGTCACAACTGCCAGGTGGTGGTGACACACACCTTTAGTCCCAGCACTTGGGAGGCAGAGGCAGACAGATCTCTGTGATCTTCCAGGCCAGTCTGGTCTACAAAGCAAGTTCCAGGACAGCCAGGGCTATGGAGAAAAACCCTGTCTGAAAAAAAACAAAAAACAAAAAACAAAAAAACAAAAAACACAACCAAACAAACAAGCAAAAAAAGTCACAGGTGAAAGATACACTGGTGAAAGATACACTGGAACTACCACCTGACTGAACTGCCTGGCTTTGCCCAGAATACTTCCTCTCATGTTGAATGGTTGTATGGGAACTGGTGTCTACTGCTGCTGCTGCTGCTGCTGCTGCTGCCTAGTGGCAGGAGGCATAATTCTGCTCTACACCATGAGCTAAAACAAGGAAAGAGCAAACTTCAAAAGGGAAACACAGTTCCTACTAAATGGTAGTCACTGTCACAATGAAGTTAAAAAGTAGTAGGCACAGATCGGGGTGACCTTATTAAATCACAAAGGGATATTATCATCATCATCATCATCATCTGCCAGGCCCTCCAGCAGGTAGGGCTGTGGAAGGGCCAGTCCAGCTGGTCTCTTCCTGGGACTGAGTGGGATGGTGAGTGTCGGTGACCCAGATTCCCCTCCTAGTCCCCGGAGAGAACCACACTGAGTCGGGAGACTTGTCAAAGCAGGATCTTGTTTTATTGCAAAAGGAAGGAACTTATATAGGATTGGGGTAGGGGATGGGAATCTTAGGATGGGGTAGGGTGACATGAGGAGTAAAGGCCAATAATATTCCACACACTAGCAGTTAGCCAGGCAGAGGCAGTTCTATGTCAGGCTGTGCTGAGTCACCCCTATGCAGAAGTTATGGCCAAAGACAGGTCACCAAACTCGAGTCAGGCTCAGGAGGTTACATTGGGCCCCATGTCATCATCATTTTTAGGCCCAACAATCATCATCATCTTCATCATCCTCATCATTATCAACATCATCCTCATCCTCCTCATCCTCATCATTGATCATCCTCATCCTCATCATCCTCATCATTGATCATCCTCATCACCATCCTCATCCTCATCCTCATCATCCTCATCGTTGTCATCATCATCATCCTCATCACCATCCTTTTCATCATCAACATTCTCATCATCTTCCTCATCATCATCATCATCATTGTCATCATCATCATCTCTGTGTAATAGAATCATAACTCAGGCAGAAAAGGTCACATGACTTGTTTAAGGCTCCACCTAGAAGCTTAGTAAGTGAAGGCTTCTATGGCGGTATTTACTGCATCCTCATGAAAGGACTCCAGGTCACTCACAAGCCAGGGGGAGGGACTTTTCATTGGGGTATCAGACATTGTGTATGAAAATGCAATGTAGGGCTAGGCCCTGGTGGTGCATACCTTTAATCCCAGCACTTGGAAGCAGAGGCAAGCGGATCTCTATGAGTTCAAGACCAGCCTGTTCAACAAGAGCTAGTTCCAGGACAGACTCCAAAACCACAGACAAACCCTGTCTCAAAAAACAAAACAACAAAAAAAGTGCAATGTAGTGGAACACTAACTGTACATTAATTCAACATCAGCCTTCTACCACCAGATACTACTTTTAAGCCAGGGCCTCAGGACTCTCTCAACCCAGATCAGGTATTGAGTCTCCAAGATTCAATTTGAAATTTCAGTGAGCTCAGGCTTGCAAGATGACTAGGGAGTAAAGGTGCTACTGTCAGTCCTGAATACCTGGGGTCTCGCAAACTCACACAGTGGAAGGGGAGAACTCACTCTCACAAGTTGTCCTCTGACCTCCACATGGATATCAGGGCCTGCTCTTACCTCCCGATCCTCCTACACACACAAACAAACAAGATAAACATACCCGAATCAATTCAGGTAGATCTCTGTGAGTTGGAGGCAAGCCTGGTCTACATAGCAAGCTCCAGGCCAGCCAAGGCTACATAGTGTGACACTTTTCAGGAAAAAATAAAGGAAGGAAGGAAGGAAGGAAGGAAGGAAGGAAGGAAGGAAGGAAGGAAGGAAGGAGGGAGGGAAGGAGGGAGGGAAGAAAGGGAGGGAGGGAAGAAAGGAAAGAAGGAAAGAAAGACAGACAGACAGACAGACAGACAGACAGACAGACAGTACACTGGGAAGAGAAGGACCGATGGACACTAGGGGGATAAGGATTTAGTGAGTTCAATGTGTCAAGGGGTTCCTTGGCAGCAAGGGGCAATGACCAACTTCCATTTATGCTGTCCCCTTCCTGTTTATACTGCAACACGACAATCAGAAAGGAAAGAGGGACCACTTCCCCCACGCTTTCTCCAATCTTGAAAATCATTGCCAGCTACAAGACTGGGACCATAGTGTTTCCTAAAATCTTCACCAAATGACCATACATAACCTCCAACATTTGGCCTCCAAACAGTGAGGGACAATTAAGGGAAAAGTAGCTCACCTCATGATTATATAACTTAATTACTTTAAAAGATGTAGCAATTCAAGTGGTATTCATGAAACACTTCCCTCTTATTAACATCTCTGTCAAAAACAAACAAGTAAACAAACAAACACCACCACCACCAAACCTATAACATTCCAACTTTGAACACAGCATTCCTCACTGTGGCTTGTGGTTGCTCCCCTAAATATATGCTTTGACTTTTTAAAAATTTATTTTATGTATATGAGTGCGCTATCTGAAAGTATGAACTTATGCCAGAAGCGGGCATCAGATTCCACTATAGATGGTTGTGAGCTATATGTGGTTTCTGGGAATTGAACCCAGGTCCTCTGGAAGAGCATCCAGTGCTCTTAACCACTGAGCCATCTCTCCAGCCCCTTAACTTTTTAAAATACACTTCATTTTTTTTGTTTGTTTGGTTAGTTAGTTTTGTTTGTTTCTTTGTTTTTAATTAAAGTCACACTGTATAGCACTCTTGGAATTCACTACATAGAGTAGGCTGGCCTTCAACTCACAGAGATTCACCCACCTCTGCCTCCCAAGTGCTGGGACTAAAGGCATGTGCCACCTCAGCCTGCTCTCCTCTTTTTCAGAATGTTACAGTTATTCATGTATTTAAGGAGAGATCACACATGGCACAACACACATAAAAGTCAGAATATTTAAGGGGTTTGGTTCTTTCCTTCCACCCTGTGGGTTCCTGGAGATTAAATGGGTCATCAGCTCGATGGCAAGCACCTTCACCTGTGGGTTCATCTTACCAGCTCAAACAGGTCTTCTAGATAAATCCTCTGCTTGCTGACCTGGTGTGTCATCAATAAACTTTTTTTTTTTTTTTTAGGAAAACAAGAAGCTAGACCAAAGGGGTCTGGTCTCCTTAGTTGAACTCCCCAGTTGGTCTTCTCCAAACAGACCCACTTATCAACAGCCAGCACTAACCAGTATCTATTCAAAGCAGTGTGTTCTCTGTCCCAAAGGAATTTGCCTCCTGTGTCACGGTGGAACAGTGGAGTATACGAGGAAGCATTGGTCCACAAAATGGTCTGCCAACCATCACGGCAATGGGCTCCAACTCAGACTTTCTGCTATCCTGTCTCCTTTGATACATCATACATGTGCCATCATAATACTTATGCAGGCCCAGCTGTCCAAACTAGGATTCTGATTCCTCCTCCACACACCTATTCCCATAGTCCCTCATCTCCTTTTGCACAGGCTTCCAATGGGATCACCCTGAGGATTTTCAGGATCGTCTCCTATCTTTCATCTTTTCTCTCATCCCTGGAAGGTACCAACAGCAAATGGTTCTTAGAAAGATGAAGTCTACCACAGACTTTGCAGGTCACATATGTTGACACATTTTACTTTACATTTTTTCTTTTGTTTTTGTTTTTCAAGACAGGGTTTCAATGTGTAGCCTTGGCTGTCCAGGAACTTCTTCACTAGACCAGGCTGACTTCGAACTATCAGAGATCTGCCTGCTTCTGCCTCCCAAGTGCTTGAGATTAACGAACGACGTGTGCCACCACCACCCTCTACATACTGTAAATGTCCAGGAGGAGGGAGCTGCAGTTGCTAGTTTTTGCACACACTGATCATTAGTTTGTAAACACTCTGTATTTGCACACACTGTCAACATTTGCACTTTGATCAGAGGAAAGCTTTCAGGCCTCAGCCTCATCCCAGGAGGAAGTCATTCTCACGTATTTGAGGCATTGGTCAGTCCTCCACAAGGCCATGCCCAAGTCAAACAATACACATTTACTCAGCTCTTCCTCTGCTCCCTGACAATAGTCTCCCTCAAGTTGCATGTACACACACACACACACACACACACACACACACACACACACACACACACACACACACACACACGAAGACCTGGGCTGAAATGGTTCAGTCGTTAAGAGCACTTCATGAAGCCAGGTGGTGGTGGTACACACCTTTCATCCCTAGCAACTTGGGGATGAAAGGGTTTATCTCAGTTTGCAGCTTGCTGTCAGTCCATCATAGAGGGCAGTCAGGGCAGGAACTCAAGGTAAGGACCTAGAAGCAGGAATTGGAAAAGAGACCATGGAGGAGGACTGCCAACTTGCTTGTTGTCACAGCAGTAGAAAAGTAACTAAGACATCCTATCTCAAGGCAGGGTTGGTGGTCTGGAGAGATGGCTCAGTGGTTAAGAGCGCTTGTTCTTGTAGGAGATGTGGGTTCAATTCCCAGTACCATATAGTAGCTCAAAGCCATCTGAAATCCCAGTTCCAACAGAGTCCTTGTCTAGTCTCTAAGGGCACCAAGCATGCACATGGTAAACGTACACACATACAGGTAAAATACCAATACACATAAAATAAATATAACTTTATTTATTTTTAAAGATTTATTTATTGTGTATACAATGTTCTGCCTGTAGGCCAGATGAGGGAACCAGATCTCATTACAGATGGCTGTGAGCCACTATGTGGTTGCTGGGAATTGAACTCATGACCTCTGGAAGAGTATCCAGTGGTCTTAACCTCTGAGCCATCTCTCCAGCCCTAAAATAAATATAACTTTAAAAAAACAAATATAAAAAGGAAGACAGGGGAGTAAAATGTAAAATGACAGTTACTTGGGGGGGGGCACAGAGAGAGGTGGTAGAGGGTGACAGAATAGATTTTATTATGTAGCCCAGGCTGACCTAGAACTCACTGTGTAGCCCAGACTGGCTTTGAATTTGTGGTGAATTTGCCTGGCCTTCTGAGTACTGGGATGACAGATATGTGCCCCTGTACCCAGTAAAGAATTATCCCCTGATGTGGTGGCACATGAGTTTAATCCCATCACTTGGAAGGCAAAAGTAGGTGGATCTCTGTGAGTTTAAAGCCAGTCTGGTATACATAATAAATTTCAAAACAGCCAGAGCTACACAGTGGCACACTGACTAAACACAAAACAAACACACAAAATTACCATGACAGGTAAACCAGGCAAGAATTTCAAAAGGAAGGGGAAAAAGGCAGAGAAGAAGGGAGGAAAGAAGGAAGGAAGGAAGGGAAAAGAAGGGCCAGTCATTCCAGACAGAGAACCAGCTGGTGCAAATGTGGGACCTTTGGGGAACCACTGCAGGATGTCCTACAATGGGGTGTTGTGGTTTAATATGTGGAGGATGGAGTGACAGGGGATAAATGGGTGGGAGTGGCTAAATCCAGCCTGGGAGCCAAGAGGGCTGAACATTTTTTTTTTTTCGAGACAGGGTTTCTCTGTGTAGCTTTGGAGCCTATCCTGGCACTTGCTTTGGAGCCCAGGCTAGCCTCGAACTCACAGAGATCCACTTGCCTCTGCCTCCCGAGTGCTGAGATTAAAGGCATGAGCCACCAACGCCCGGCCAGCCCAAGTTGCTTTTGATCATGGTCTTTATCACAGTAATAGAAACCTAAGACACATGTGGAGGCCCAATGATGACATGGGTTTCTTCTAGTACTCTCTTCATTTTTTGAGGCAATGAATGTGGAGCTCGCCAACTGGTTGTATTGACTGTACAGTGAGCCACAGCACTGGGATGCAGTTGCTCACCTCAGTGCCTGAGTTTTACTTGGGTGTTGGGATCTAAATTTGGGTCCTTGTGCTGGTACTACAAGCATTTTGCCCACTGACCCATCTCCTTGGCCTTAGACATGGGTATTCTTTTGCTCAGCACATAAGGGACTCAGTGGTATAGTCTAGAGGATGGAGTATGCTTACCCTTTGCATAGCAGCCCAGGCCCCATATCCACAACTGTGAGCTACCCAATAAAACAGTATGAGGCCCAGAAGAAAACAGCAGTGACAATCCCTTTTCTATCCAGACAAAAGACAATCCTACAAGTTTTAGCCTCAAGTTGAGGGTATATCATGTTCCTGTCTGTCCCCAAAGACTTCCTCCATGGGATTATCAAAAACAAATAATTTTTTTTCAAAACAAAAATCAGCCAAAGTCAGGTGTGGTGGCACACATACCTTTAATCCCAGTTCTCAGTAAGGAGAGGCAGGTAGAATTCTATGAGTTTGAGGCCAGCTTAGTCATCAAAGTGAGTTCCAGGACAGTAGGGCTGTTATACAAAGAAATCCTGTCTCAAAATATAAAAATAAAAAATAAAAATAAATCAAGGTGGTTAACAATGTACCAGTTATGGTTTGAGTTCTGCTGAGTCCTAGTTCTTCCTCTCTAGGGTTGCTTTTTCTTTTTTGACAGAATCTCAATAATTCAGGCTTGAACTCTAGCAGCCAAGGTAGACCTTGAATGCCTCACCCTCCTGCCTCCCCACCCTGAATGCCAAGATTATAGCTATTATAGATTATGCCCAGCTCCTTGTGTTTTCCTGGTAAGAGGAACTTGAATAAAGCAGAGAGAGAGATTCTGATAAGTCCTCTTTGCTATTTGGGCATGAAGGGGTTAACACAATGCCCACTTAGTAGACCTTCCCAGGTCATGGTCTGGGTTCATTTTGCCCTGACAATGACTGTCTTTTGCCTCCTTCAACTTAGCTATCTTTCCTACTTGACTTAAAAATCTCATCCTATTAATGTCAATCCTCTAGACTAGACCACTAAAGCCGGGTCATGGTCTCTAGAAGCTCACTGCTGCTATTCACATATGTCACCTGGCAGGAAAAGAGAGTCTTTGATGGGGACATAGGGGAGGACAGCCATCTTCTGTAGTCCTCTTTCATTAGCACATTAGCATGAATGAGCTTATCAGATTAGCTAATTGTCACCTGGACACTTTGGACAGTACAGAGATACTGGTGAGTCGAATTTCCACAAAAAGCATAATGACAAAGACGGGTCCCCAAAAGATCTCCAAGCATTCGGGAAGGACAGGCCTGTGGAGGAAGGGCAAAAAGGATGCTACAAAGGACAGTGGCCGTGGAGAAAAAGCTCTGGATGAGAAGGGAGCAACAAGAAATTTTTACCATTTTCTGGCTCTGCCTAGTGTCCCCAGTCCCTGCTGGGGGATGGCAGGTGTACAAACAGCTCGGGCACAAAAAGGGACCTTGCCTTCTGCTTCCAGACACAGTATCATGAGCAAAGACAAGCTCTGGTAAGACAGAAAGCTTTGTAAATGGCAAGACTCCTTCCAAAAGTATCTGGAGATGTGTAACACACACACACACACACACACACACACACACACACACACACACACACACACTTTAAATGTTTTAATCTGTAGATAAGCATCTAAGAGAAAGAACACACACACACAAAGGAAAATTCAGCCCCTCCACCTGAGACTCATGTTTAACACCCACATAGAAGAGAAGGACCAAGATTTTGAGCCCCTGGGAATCATCATGCTGAAATGAATACAGAAAGCCAACACTCTTGACCTTCGGCAAAAGGGAAGACTAGGAAAAGAGCCACCCAGTGCTACAGGTGACAAGGGTATCTGAATTCGCCACAGCCATTCAAGCTGCATAACCTCCACTGCTGTTCATATGCTTAAGTCAGGGGAAGCCATCCATGTAGAAATAGAATAAAATAACTGCTAAGGGTGTGCGCCAGTGCTAAAGCACATTCATAGATTCTTAAACTGCCAAGTCCTAGGCTCAATTTGTGTTTGTTTGTTTGTTTGTTTGTCTTGTTTTGTTCTTCCAGACAGGGTTTCTCTCTGTAATAGGCCTGGCTGTCCTGGAACTAGCTTTTGTAGACCAGGCTGGTCTCAAACTCGCAGAGATCCACCTGCCCTTGCCTCCCAAGTGCTGGGATTAAAGGCATTCACCACCACACCTGGCTATGAACCCAATTCTTAGCATTACAAAATGATAATAATAAACTATTAATAAGGTAGGAAAAATGGGGCTGGGTATATTATATCAGTGGCAGAGAGCCATTTTGGTGTGCCCAAGCTCTGAGTATAGCCTACCACATAAGAAAAAAAAATGTGAGGCCAGGTGGTGGTGGTGCATGCCTTTAATCCCAGCACTAGGGAGGCAGAGGCAGGTGGATCTCTGTGAGTTCCAGGCCAGCCTGGTCTACACAGTGAGTTCCAGGACAGCCTCCCAAGCTAAAGAGAAACCCTGTCTCGGAAAAAAAAAAAAAAAAAAAAAAAGTGGAGGTGGGAAGGAAAGGGAAAATAGAAAGGAATTTTTAAAAATACTTTCATGTCTTTTAATTTCTTGATAATGCTAACTATTGAACCCTGGGCTCAGTAACCTGGCCTATATCCCCAGACTTCAATATTCCTCTGTTTCTGATATCTAGAATAGATGGAAGAGATTAAAGGATTATGAGTTCAAAGCCATCATATTCTTTTTTTGTTTTGTTTTTTTGGTTTTTTTTTTTTTTTTGAGACAGGGTTTCTCTGTGGCTTTGGAGGCTGTCCTGGAACTAGCTCTTGTAGACCAGGCTGGTCTCAAACTCACAGAGATCAGCCTGCCCTTGCCTCCCAAGTGCTGGGATTAAAGGCATTCGCTGCCACCACCCAGCAAGTTAATATATTTTTAAGGGCCGGAGCTATAGATTAATCATTTGTCTAGCAAATATGAGGTCCTAGGTTTCATCCCCAGCACTGCGACATAAATAAAGTAAAACAAAATGTTTTCAGACAATGTTCAGAACAGCCTATAACTCACAGGTCCCTGCTAAAAGAACTTTTAAGGGAGATAGTTTAAAAATGAAGGAGAACCGGTTTCTCCAGCCTGACTCTGGGTTCGGTCCCTGGGACCCACATGACTGAAAGAGGGAACTTATTCCTGCAAATTAGCCTGCATATGCAGTTCCACCACATAGACAGGCAGACAGACAGGCAGACAAATGTAAACGATTGTTTTAAAAACAGGGCATGATGGCAGATATCTTTAATCCCAGCCTGAGGCAAAGGACCTCTGTAAGTTCGAGGCCAGCCTGGTCTACAGAGAGAGATCCAGGACAGCCTCCAAAACTACAGAAAAACACTGTCTCAAAAACAAAACAAAGCCAGGTATTGGTGGCGCACACCTTTAATCCCAGCACTTGGGAAGCACAGGCAGGCGGTTCGAGGCCAGCCTGGGCTCCCGAGCGAGCGCCCGGACAGGCTCCCCAACCACCACCAACAACCCCCCCCCCCCGAAAAAAAAAAAAAAACCCTGTTCGGAAAAAAAAAAAAAAAAAAAAAAAAAAAAAAAAAAGCAGCAAAATATAAGAAAAATAAATAAATAAAACTTGTAAAATTTAAATTTAGTAAAGACAAATTTGAAGGGCAATGGGAGTCCAAGCAGGACAAAAGCTTTGTTCTGAAATAAAAGCTGTTTGTCTTGGTTTTATGTATGAGACAATCTGCTCTGTTTAAAAAAAGCTGAGAAGTTGAAAACAAGCAAAAACCTAAAAAAGGAAAGGGAAGAATGTAACTCAGATAGATAAGGGGTTTAGGAACTACTATGAATAGCTTCCTGGCAACAAATGTAGAAACAGACAAAAATCAAATGTTTAACAACAAGCTATTAAAGCCGATGCAAAGAGAAACATAAAATTAAAGAGCATAATATCTTTTTCCTCAACGACAACATCAGCTCTGAAAAGCCTCAAAATAAAACTCGAAGGCTTGACTTTAAGTCAACCAAATACTGCCTAGCTGACTGGAGATGTGGCATCCTAGACGTTGAACATGCCTCCCTGTGTGAGGGGTTTGATGGCCAGCGCTAGAAAAACAAAGTACATAAAACACACTGTTTTAAACAAATGGCTCCAAAAAGAGAAAGGGGGAAAACTCTTCAACTTTTTTGTTTATGTTCTGATATTGGTGGTCAAATTCAGGTTGTATCCCTGCTACAAAGGCAGTGGTGATTGCCTTTCGGCCACATCAAAGGGCCTTCCCTAGCTTTTGATAGGCCAAGTGGACATACCGGCGATAAGACAAGGCCAGGTGTGATGGTGCAGACCAATACAACGCAGCACCAAAGGAGCCGAGGTGAGAATCCACAGGTCTAGGCCAGCCTGTCTATAAAGCAATACCTTATTTTTAATAAAATAAAATAAAAACTGGGTGTGATTGCACAGGCTTTCAGTTCCAGAATTCAGGAGATAGAGGTAGACAGACTTCTGTGAGTTCAAGGCCAACCTGATCGACATAGAGAGTTTCAGGATAGCCAGGGCTACAGAGAGAGAGACAGACCCTGTCTCAGAAAAATAAGTTAAATTGAATTAACCATTATATCAGTAGTATGGATTAAAGGATTAAAAACTATATGATTCTCCCCACAAATGTATAAAAATGTTTCATAGAATTCAGTCCACCTACATTGCTCTCAGAAGCTCAGTGGTAGGACACTGGGCTAGCCTGTCTAAGACTCTAGGTTCAACCCCAAGTACTGAGAAGAAAAAAAGTCAAGAAGTGAAGGGAATCAAATAAACAAATGAAACTAAGATTCTTCAACAAATTAATAATAAGAGCTACCTTTGTGAGCTCCTGGTCCTATGTCTAAAATTTAGTATGAAATACTATAAATATTTCCTTTAAAACCACAATATTTATTTATTCATTCACCCATTCATTCACTCATTCATTCATTCATTTTCATTTATTCATTTTGAGACAGGGTTTCTCTGTAGCCCCGGCTGTCCTGGAACTCACTCTGTAGACGAGGCTGGCCTCAAACTCTCAGAGATCCACCTGCCTCTGCCGCCCGAGTGCTAGGATTAAAGGTGTGAGCCACCATCACAACCTGACCACAAACAGTAATCTTGTAAGGGGTATTTACAGCCACATTTCCAGTTAACATGGTGCCAAGTGCTTTAGTAAACAAGGTGAGACAGGAAAAGGACAAAGAAAGGTTTCGAGAACTGCAAAGAAGAAAAGAAACCATCTGTATTCCAGTCAGTGAGGCTGTTTCCCAGAACACCTAAGACAGAAGTCAACCCTCAGCAAGTCTGTTGAACACAGGAACAAAATAGCTGAATTAATTGTGTTTCTGTGTAACAGCTGGGGGGGGTGACACTTGAAGTTTCCATTTCTCTTTACATGAACTGTGGGCTAACACTCAACAAAAACTGATGGGAGAAAATGTGGAACGTTATCAAATTCCATGGAAGAACGAAACAAAAAGAGGTGTATGCAGTTAAGGATTGGAAACATTATAAATCTGATGACAGTGGGGCTTGCCTGTGATCCCCTGGGAAGTGGAGATAGCAGGATCAACAGTTTAAACTGATCGTTGGCTATATGGAAAATTCCAGACTGACTGTGTCAAACAGAGCAATAACAAAACCCCAAACAAACAAGCAAACAAAAAAAAAAAAACAAAACAAGATAATCTGGGCAGTGGTGGCACATGCTTTAATCCCAACACTTGGGAGGCAGAGGCAGGTGGATCTCTGAGTTCAAAGCCAGCCTGGTCTACAGAGTGAGTTCCAGAACAGCACAAAAAGGAAAGAAAGTCCAGTCACTCCTTCATCTCAGCTATTGAAAGGTACCTGCACAATTCATTTTGGGTCCCATTCATCACTGAGGGCCAATGGTCAGGTCAGGCACAGACTCTGAACAACCTGGTACCTGGTACTTCAGATGCCTTTGTCCTCGACTCGTACAGGTATATGTTAGTTCACATGTTCCTGTTGTCATCTATCTAATTTTTTAACTCGCTGGGAAGTCTGGCTGAGCTCAGGAGAAGGGGTCGTTCTGAAGTTAAGTGAAGCAGGGATTCTTTCACTCCTGAGTCATTGTTTTGCTTCCAAACAGATGTCAGTAGTTGCCCAGTGACCTCTGTGAAATGTTTGTGGTCTTGTGTCAGTTCCTAACAACGAGCTGTCCACAGAATGCCAGGACTTTATTTATTGTAGACGCTCCTTTGATGTCTGTCAAGCTTTTCATGTTTCCTTTTCTTTTTATCTGGTTTCTCACTGTTGA